GGGGGGGTAGCATCTTGGACTGAGTTTCCCCTTTCCCATCTGCACTGATTCTCCAGCCTTCCTGCCTATCCCACAGACAAGCCTTTATCCTACAATTAAATTCCTTCTCTGCTTAAATTAACCAAACTATGTTTTGGTTGTTTGCAACCATCATTTCAGCTAATACAGCATGGAAGAGAAAAGAACTATGCAAAATCTCAGTAGGCTGCAATACTTTGAAATTGGGCTATTTGAGTAGAAATCACCATTACCCATCAATGAAACAGGGACCTCACTTCCTGGATGCCTGGCAGGCTCACAAGAATAACATGCGCATCAAGAGTTCTGATGACCTTACTTTGGAAGCAAGAGCCCTGAGGATCCAAACAAGATGTGAAAATTAACTTCCAGAAGAGTTTCAAATTCTTGAATGGTCTCCAATACATTAAGACCCTGACCTCAAGCTATGTGGCAATTATTTATTATTGTTGGCCATTTTAATTTTAAACAATTGATGGGTTATTTCTGTCCCTCTGTTTGCTTTTCTAAGATTAAGAGTACTTCTCGGGCTTTGAGGAGCTAGGAGAGCTAACAGAGCTCTCATTTCAGAAGGAATTGTATTAATCTTCACAAATGTTCACTTGCCTCAACTGTAACTAGGAGACTAAGTCAAAAAATATTGCTACAAACCCAAAGAAACCTTTATTGAACTTCCAAAATAGCAAAGAGTGATGCTATTATATCTTAACACAGCCTGCATCTAGTCTACATACTTCTAAAGGTGGTGTTTCCATCTCTGGCCCTTCTCTAAAGAATTCTGCCCTCTTCGATTTACATCACATCCAAACATCAGTTTTGACATCGAGAGGCTCAAATTATGCTCCTTTTCAATGTGCTTTGATTGTTGGGAATAAAAAGAAGCCAGAACTTTAGGATAGGTGGAGTCAGGCTTTCTAAGGAAATTCTTGTAGGATAACCCTTGTTACCCTAAAAGAACGAACAGGTACATTGTCATAATGGACAAAAATTCCTTGGCATAACCTTCCTGGCCTTTATCTCATCCATGCAGTTTTCAATTTTTTAAAAATCTCTTCCTACCAAATCCCTGTGATCATCCTATATTCTTCGAGGAAAATCTATCAAGATTGCCTACATCCTTCTGAGCCGACCTCTCTGCCTGGAATTTAACTGGCCCAACATTCAACTGGACATTTTCGGGGGTGGGGGGTGCACTCTAATGAGACTAAGTATTACTGACAGAACATGTCTGCAGCCACCCTGATCACAGAGGTACGTTTAAACACGTTTTATTTGGGGGAACCCCAAGTACGTATGAAACGGAACCCTAATAGCCATACTTTTGTATTTGCCTGTATCTGCTTTCTAGGAGCTGATTCTGAACACATTATCTAATTTATTTGAGCTTAGCACAAGGTCATTGACCACTTGTAGAGATACGACTCCTGACATGTTGGTAGCTCTGTGGTGCCTGAGGAGCTCTGGAGAACAAGTCATATATAACCAGGTATCATTACCAGCACCCATCATTCACGTCTTCTTATTGGGTCAATCCAACTCATTTCTATATCAGTTCCCACACGCTGAGTCACTAAGGCCACTGACGCAAATTCTACTTTTCCTACCATCTTAGAAAGAGTTTTATCCAGGCGAGGTGTTTGTGAAGATGTTAAAATATGAAACTACAGCACCTAAATGATGCTGCATTATTAATTTTCTAGTGAATCATTTAGAGTTTCCCGAAGTCTTAATATATAAACTGTGACCTGATTTTTTTAAAGTCTGGCTATAATTGGACTACTATTACTATGTAACAATTTAATTTAATTGTGCTATTAGCAGGAATGCAAGCAGGCCAACTATATTTGTATTAAAAACTGTTATATCATCATTATTATTATTGATATTATACTTGCTAACCACAATTATATTGGAATAATGACAACCAGGATAATCAACCCAACCCACTGCTATCAAGTCAATTCCAAGTCATAGTAACCCTGAAAGACAAGTAGAATCATCCTCAGGAATTCCAAGAGTATACATTTTGTTTTTGTTTTTTTTATCATTTTATTGGGGGTTCGTACAACTCTTATCACAATCCATACATTCATCCATTGTGTCAAGCACATTTGTTGCCATCATCATTCTTAAAACATTTGCTTTCTCTATGAGCCCTTGGCATCAGCTTATTTTTCCCCTCCTTCCCTGCTCCCCCCTCCCTCATGAACCCTTGATAATTTATAAATTATTATTATTTTGTCTGACGTCTTCCTCCACCCACTTTTCGTTGTCCGTCCCCCAGGGAGAGGGTTATATATAGAACCTTGTAATCAGTTCCCCCTTTCTACCCTACCTTCCCTCCACCCTCCTGTATCACCACTCTCACCAATGGTCCTGAAGGGATCATCTGTCCTAGATTTCCCTGTGTTTCCAGTTTCTCTCTGTACCAGTCCAAGACTATAAATCTTTATGGGAACAGACAGCTTCATTTTTCTCCCTTGGAGTGGCTGGTGGAGTTAAACCACTGATCTTGTAATTAACAGTCCAAATGACTAATCAAATGAGCCACTGTGGAGCCCCACCATCACTGAGTTGATTCCAACTCATAACAACCAGTAGGGTTTTCGAGGCTGTAAATCTTTTTAGTAACAAATAGCCTCCCCCACACCCCCCTGAGAGAAGCTGGTGGGTTGAACCACTAACCACTCAATATATATCCAACAGCACCAACAGGGCTCCATCATGAATAGAGCACACAGAAGCCAAATCCACCCATTCATTTCACCTGCCTGCCTTTTCCATACTGTCATTTATTTAGCCATCCATCCATCCTTAAAAAAAAACACACACACCTTCTTGACTCAGACACTAAGAATACAGGTATGATTCGAACATGGTTCCAGTTCGTAAAGAGTGCATGGTCTCCTGGAGGAGATGGACATGTAAGGCAGATGTTGAAGTCAACACTGTGCTAACTGCTGAGCTGAAGGAGGGAGGCTAACTCCACACAAGTACAAAGGAGGGAGGGGTTGATTCTGTGGTGTCAGTTGGGGTTAGGAAGAGGTATGGGGGGGACTAGGCAAGGTTTACTAAAGAGGTAAACCATGAATACTACATTTATTGGGATGACAACCTCATACACAAACATTTTTCTTAGATGGATTGTACATATACACACACACACAGCATATATGTACACATATACAAAGACAGGCAATTCAGATTTTATTCTATTCATGGAAATCATCTAAAAAGTGACATTTGTGATAATTAGGGGCTACCTTCCTGGATGAGGATTCAGCATTCAACAAATCACAGATCTCTTTTAAAGATGTGTCATAAAAGCAATGTTGTTCTACATCCTACTTTGGTGAGTAGGATGTGGTCTTCAAAGCTCAGGAGCAGCCATCAGAGATGCATCTGTTAGTCTCCTCTGCCCAACGGAAAGGAGCAGGATGAAAGTGGAAAACACAGGGAAATGATAAGTCCCACAGACCAGTGGAGGACCCAAAGTCTCCATGTCCCTGTGATCGAAAGAACTAGAAGGGTCCCTGGCTACCACTACTAACTGCTCTAAAGGGAATCATATCAGATTCTGATATGGTCCTGCTGGATAGTGAAGAAAACGGTTAAATAAAACTCAAAATCATTTTTAAAAGACCAGACTTACTAGTTGACTAGACTAGTAAGACTGTGGTCCATAGGCACACTTCCGGTCTGGAACGAAACTCGTGGCCCGATTGCAGCCAAGTAACAGACAGGTCGCTAAGGGAAACACTGAGCACGAGGGAAGTCTGCACACCTTCGAGTAATCACCCAGTGAGGTTGAAAAGGGGGAGCATCCACCCAGGACAAAGTTCAGAGCAATTAGGAGAGGGAGGGATAGAAATGGGAACTTTGGGGGGTGGGGTGGAGGTGGGATAAGGGATGCTGCTACCTCGTGGGGGTTGCAGGCAATGACATGAAACAAAGTGTGTATGAACTGCTGGCTGGAAAACGGATTTGCTCTGTAAACCTTACCCTCATTCAAATTAAAAAAAATACATTACAATTTACATGCATACATAGCTGGTGAAGTGTAAAATCGTACATGCTGTTTCTCATTCTTAAAAGGGGGGAGGGCTAACACAACCAGACATGGAATTTGACAGCTGGAAAGGGT